TTTGACTTATTTTCAAACGATGGGGTCCATGTGTCAGGCCCACTTGGTCACTTTGAATCTGGACATTTTGATTTCCAGATCAATGGTCCAGTTTTTTCGGCTTTAAAAAAATTTTAGAAAAAGAAAAAAAATCAAAAATGTTTAGGTGGGCAACGTGTCTCATTCTGGATTGTTGGATTTCAATTTTTTTTAATCCGATGGTCCAGATTAATTAAGTTAAAAATAAATACATAAACTAATTAAAAATCCAAAAAAAATTCAATTTTTTTTTTTAAATTATAATTTTTTTTAATAAATACTTTATCATTTTCTCCCACCTTATAGCACATTTCAATATTTTCAACGATTCTAAATAGGTAAGGACATGTCGCGCAACGGAATTAGTTAAAAATCTTATCGAGCTCTATTCATAAAAATTGTACTTTCGAATAATGACACGTAGCGTGACGAGATCGGTTAAAAACCTTATTTGAAATTTAAATTTAAATTATTTTATAAAATAAAAAATACTAATATTTTATTACCTATTGTCATGGCTATTCAGTTTAGGGGTGAAGATGCAAAATGTAATTCTTGTTCATTAAAGTCAGTTACTATTCACCGGAGGGGATTGTTGAAAAACCATGTTAGTTCCCAATTAACCCACTGCTACACTCTTTTCTCTTTAAAAACATAAGTAGCCACCATGCGTGCTGTGATGTTGCACTTATGAGGAGAGAACTTGAATACAACGACCCTCAAATGAAAAGCTAACACACGAATGTCATGAATGATTCCTTCCATTGACACCTCCTTAATCTTCCTGGTTACTAACATATCTATCATAGGGCCGGCCCTGAGAATTTGAGGGTCCTAGGCGAGCCTTTGAAATGAGGCCCTAGAGTTCTTTGACTCCCGACCCTTTATACATTGACATGTGTAAAAAAAAATCACTAAATACATGAAAAGTCTATTTCTACATCAAATATCATTAAAAATTAATATCAAAAGAAGAGAGACATACGAACATTACTCAAATATTAGTATATTACCCGTATCGCATTTTTAGATGCAAATGCACTTTTTAAGTTTACATAATCTAATTTTTCAACCAATTCAAACCAAAAGAAAAGTCCATACCCAGTACGCCAAATTCCAATCATTTTTCTATTGTTACAATGTTACTTATTACATTCAATAAATGAATGAATGAATGGTTGGATTACAGAGACAACATCTTATAACTAGGAAAAATACTAGAGCGAAGAGGATAGTAATTTTCGTATACGTGCCTAGGCGGACGAAACAGATTTGAATAATTTATTATATATTATATAAACTAATTAATTTGAACATTTAATAATGTCATTTTTCAAAAAGGTGAGAGTTTTAGCATGCAAGGTGCATAATAATGATATATGTGGTGTGATCTTAAAATAGGGTAATAAAACCCCATAAAAATAAACATAAAGGTGATATTTAAGAGAGGATAAAAAAAAAGTAAAAATAAGATGGTGGGGACTATTTAAAGGGAAGAAGACGTGCAAATATTAAAAAAAAAAGATGGTGGGACCATCTTAAGTAAAATCGTGCAATTAAAATAATGTTGGGAATATAGTTGTCTTCTTCCTTGCGCGAGGCAAACCATGCAACAAAAGATTTCTAAATTCTAGCTTTTACATATAAGTTCGTATAGCTCCCGCCCATCCTCGTCCAGACCCGCCTAACTTCGCCTAAAAATTGGGGGCCCTTCCGAAGTGAGGGCCCTAGGCGAGGCGCCTGCTCCAGCTACCCTCAGGGCTGGCTTTGATCCATCACCACCTTCGCATTCGTCTCTACCGCCACCATCTCGAAACTCTTCCCTTGCAAATCATGTATACACTGCTTCCGCCTCAGCAATGGTGGAAGACATACAATGAAAATCACCAACGCTATCTGCCACCTTGAATATTTCAGACCATCAACGCACCACCCAACCCAACCCCCTAGTATTTGACTTCGAACACCAAGCACCATCGCACTTAAGCTTTAAAATACTTTTATCTGGTGGCCTCCACCCCATCCCATGCATCACGTCTATACTAGCAGCCTCCACATTCAGCCTCGTGGCCACCTCAACAGTTGACACCCTCACTACTTGTGTTACATCATTAACTTCACTCAATTGTTGCATCATCAACTGAACAACAACCTAAGGTTATGGCATTTCTTCATTATAAACAGCATTCCAGCACCAACTGATGCATAAATTCCTCACCTCCTTCAAGGTGATCACCTAGCTTTATAACAGCATTCCAGCACTCTTTGAAGTCATCTCTTGTAATTCGTCTTACATCCATTTACAATGGGCCCGCGAACCAGAATGCCCTAGCAAACTCACACCCACTAGTACAAAAAACACTTTGATCGACGCAGGTCCTTTGTCGTGCAAAGTAAAAAAACGTTGCCTAAAAATTAGTGCGACGAAGCCTTTGTCGCGCACCAACCGTCGCACCAAGGTGGTGAAAGCAAGATTTGTGCGACAAAGAAGTAACATTCGTCGCGTAAAGTGTCTTTGCGCGACTCAGGTCTCTACATCACGCAAACCCTTGTTTTTTTTTTTTTTTTTGGCAAAAATATTTTTTATTTAATTTTTAATAAATATTGTAATTAATTATAAACAATAATTAATAAACCAAGAAAAAGTATTTAATTATAAAATATATGAAAATGTACATACAAGATGTCCAAACAAAAAAGAAAAAACTACAACAAGTAGTCTTCTAAGTTTGATACATCAGGCTACTGGGTATCGGCTGGGCGAAATGGCTGGGAGGTCGAAGGTGGAGCAAGATCAGGTGCTGGCATCGGGATTTGGAGGCCGGACATCTGTAAGGCCCGTACAATAATACTCATATGCTTGCCCTAGGCCCTCATCTGCTCGCCCTAGGCCGCAAACTGACCTTTTAGGGTTGTCACTTCCTCCTTCAGGGCATTGACCTCTCATGTGGTCGATCAGAAAGAGGAGGCATCCGTTTCACAATCCAGCAAATTTTCACAATCATAAAAATAATAGTTTTAAAATGAAAAAAAAAATACAACGTAGTGAGAATTAGAAAAAACTACCTAGCTGGGAAGCCCCACCCTCGACTCTGGATGCCGTTGAAGTGTGATCATAAGAGAAAAATAGTTTGGATGCGATAGGAGAATCGGTGGAGATCAAAACAAACGATGGTTTAATGGGTTAAATAGTTACTTGTTATGAGAGAGGAGAATCGGTGGAGATCAAACTGCATCATAAGAGAAAAATTAAAAATGCTTATGGAGAACCAAATCAATTTTTTTTTTTGCAATTTCTATATGGTTTAAGTTCTTTATACTTCCAACAAACACTTTAAGTTTTAAAATAAAATATGAAACATATTTCTAATCTTGTATTTTCACATAAGGATAATACTTATGCGTAGAAGTGCAATATAGAAAAAATGGACACTTTGGATGCGGTCCCTAACTATCAATATTCTTTGATTGAAATCTTGTTAGTTTTTAGTTTTTGATTGAGGTCCCTAACATTAATGTAATAATATAAGTTACTATATTTTTTTAAATTAAAAATTAAAAATTAAAATTTGTAACTGTTTATATTAATGAGATTTTAAATAAAATCCATAATTTATGGGATTAAAAATAATAAAATATAAATTATACTCTCTATTGTATTGTGTGTGTATACACATATATGTATGGGTAGATTAACCAAAATTAACAAAAAAAGTTATTGTACCAAAACGTGGATACATTCTCAAATCAATGAAAAAGAATGTACCCATATAAGTTTAAACAATTTGAATGGATTTTATATTAAAAAAAGGGTACATTTTACATATAACAAATTGATATATTTGAGAATGGGTACATTTAAGATTAAAAAAAATTGAAAAATTATATGAATGGGTACATTTAAGATTTAAAAATTGAGAATCTTTTTATATATAAAAAAAAACTAATAGGTACAAACTTAATTTAATTTAATTTTTTATTATTTTGGAAATGTTTGAATTGAAAATTAATTAGAAGTTTAATAGAGGTGTGAGCATTAAACCCTAAATTAATTACTAATTTTTATATTAAAAAAATTATATAATAAACATGTAAATTCATTATCACATTAATGCTAGGGACTTGAATCAAAATTTGAGAACTAATAAGGTCTTAGTCAATGAACAGTAAGAACTAGGGACCGGATACTAATTTTTCTTAAAAAAAAATAACCAAACAAATCCATTTTTTATTCTACACAGAATGAATAAGCAAAATAAGGTGTATAAATAGTATTTTGAAGCCTTTATTTGCACTATCATTATGATTAGCGTTCCAATAATTGCATGCATCATGTGTGCACCGTTGTCTTTTTTCTTTTTCTTGGACAAACATTCATTGACGAATTTGCAGCTTCATTGTGAAATGTAGAACACCCATCTCAATCAAATGGTTTCATATCAAATATCTCTCTCAAACAAAGGAAAGATGGTTCAATACGAGAAATTCGATCTTGTAAATAATTTTAGTGGTTTATGAAATGTTTGTCGATTAAAAAACAAAATAATTGTTTTTTACTTGTATGATAAGAATAAACTATTCACCGATACAATGGGACCAGTATAACATGTGGTCAGATTTTATTTGAAGTTTCACTTTTTACGTTTTTTGTAAGAAGTGTTTTACAAATAGCGTAGTAGTTTTTGTCTTCGCTGAACACCACAATTAATCGGTAATCGGATACATGAACTTAAGTGAAGTCGATCTCGATCAACTTTTCAATTGAAGAAACTAAACTCATCAAACTCTGTCACAACCCCAAAACAGTAACTTGAGTACAAGTATCCGAATTTCCGATGTTCCTCCACTTTCCTCCCCACTGTCCTTTGCCAGCTAGCAAATCTCCCCACCGCGAGTACCCCCCACTCAACCATCTCCTGCGACTGGCCAAACAAATCACTAAACACATCATCATTCATCATCTCTTTCTCTCTCCCCAACTTACTCTCACTCCTACTCCTTTCTCTCTCTCTCTCTCTCTCTCTCACTTAAAACCAGCACCCACCCAAAACCCAAAACACTCTCTCTGCAAGAGAGAGAGCCAAGCAACCACCCCTACCCAATCCAAACCACAATGGCCAATACATTTCCCACTTCCCATCGTGCCGCTACAGCCGTCCTTTATTTCCTCCTCCTCCTCTCCTCGTCCTCCTCCATCCACGCCCTCAACATCTCCACCCTCCTCTCTCCCTTCCCCGACCTCTCCTCCTTCGCCTCCCTCCTCAACTCCTCCATCTCCTCCGACCTCCTCCCCCGCTCCTCCCTCACCCTCCTCGCCGTCCCCAACTCTTTCCTCTCCTCCACCTCCTACCTCACGCGCCGCCTCTCCCCTTCCTCACGTGCCGACGTCCTCCGCTACCACGTCCTCCTCGAGTACCTCTCCCCCTCCGACCTCCTCCGCCTCCCTCCCTCTGGCAAGCTCGTCACCACCCTCTTCCAAACCACCGGCCGCGCCACCAACAACTTCGGCTCTGTCAACCTCACCCGCGACCCCTCCACCGGCGTCGTCTCGATCCACTCCCCGGCCCCCTTCTCCCCCTCGAACGCCACCGTTTTATCCCTCGTCACAAACCTCCCGTACAATGTCTCCATCTTTTCCGTTAATTCCCTTTTAGTCCCCTACGGATTCGACCTCATGGCCTCCGAGACCCACCCGCCACTCGGCCTCAACATCACCAAAGTCCTCATCGACGGCCACAATTTCAACGTCGCAGCCTCCATGCTCGCAGCATCCGGCGTCATCGAGGAGTTCGAGGCCGACGAGGGCGGCCCCGGAATCACCCTCTTCGTCCCCACTGACACGGCGTTCTCCAATCTCCCATCCACCGTCCGCCTCCAGTCCCTCCCGGCCGACAAAAAAGCGGTAGTTCTCAAATTCCACGTCATCCACTCCTACTACCCGCTCGGTTCGCTCGAGTCGATTGTGAACCCGGTCCAGCCCACATTGGCCACGGACGACGGCGGAGCCACGTCGTACACTCTCAACATCAGCAGAATCAACGGCTCAATGGTGATCAGCACCGGGATCGTCCAGGCCATGGTCACCCAGACGGTGTTCGACCAAAAGCCCGTATCAATTTTCGGGGTTTCGGCGGTTTTATTGCCCAAAGAGATATTCGGGAAAACCCCGGTTTTTGCAAAACCCGGGCCTCCGTTATCGGGGGCTCCTCCCCCCAACATTGCACTATCGCCGGAGAGCCTCAATGAGCCTCCGTCGAACCTCTCTTCGCCGCCGGACTTTCGCGAAGAGATCGGATCGGATGCTGCTGCTGCTGCTGCAATCAATGGGTTGCGGAGCTTGTGGATTGCATCTTGTTGTATAGGATTGTATTTAATGGTATGAGATTAAATTTTTGCTATTTTTGGTTCTCAATTGTTAGATTTTTGGTGGGTTTTTTTTTCACACATTGAATTGAATTGGGCTACAAAAAGCAAAGAAGCCATTTTTGTTTTTAATTTGTTGAAATTTATGATGTTAAAATTGTGTTAATGTCTGAATAATTTTATGTAAATCAGAAGAAAGAACAATTTTTGTTTCTTTTTTTAAGTTTCTTGGATCTGGTGTTTTCTCCTGTGAAGATATTCAAAGTTTGATAATGATCTAATTCTTTTGCTTAACAAGTCTGATCTGCATTTGCATAATTGCATTGATCTTACTTTCTGCAGTAATTTATGGTGAATAAAATCGGGTAGCTTTTGGCTTTAACTGACCATCCCATCAAACCCATGTGGGTAATTTCTATTTTTCAATGCATGGATCCCCAAAATGTAGAAAATCTGCAGATTTTTAAGAAAAAGAAAGAAGAAGAAGGAAGAAGGAAGCAAAGGATCAATTATTTTGGGATAAAAATTATTCAGTAATCGTTTTTTTGTGTACTTTTGTTGCCTTCTGTCATACTCATAAAGTTATGAAGCTTTCATTTTTGTGTTTCCCACGATATCCCTTCCCTTTTGGACATTTTAGAACCACAAATTATTTGTATGCCGGTCAAACAAAAATTTTTTATTCAAATTCATTCATTCTCTTTTTATACTTAATTTATTATTTTATTCAGTTGAAATTCCGAATATGAGCATAATTATCTTTTTATACTCAAATTGGAAAAAAACTAAAAAATAAAACATAAAATTTCAGCACTAAGAAACTCAATTTCTAGCACTCACCAACCTCCTATCCCCACCTCCCCTACCACCCACAATGAAAACCCTTATCTCAGCTATCAGTACACCTCTTTTGATCTTTCCCTGGCTACACAACAAAATTGGGGTGGTCGGAGTTACCTATTGCTGGATTTTGTTTTTTTTTTGTTGGGTCTAGAAAGAAAATTGTTGTGCACATTCAAAGTTTCAAGATAGAAAATGATAGGCTTGGTGTAAAAATAAAATAAATGGGTCTAATAAACCTTTCGTTAAATAATTAGTTGTTAGGAGAGAAGAATCAACGGCGATCAAACTCACACTAAGATGTAGGGTTACTTTCGGGGATTAAGTACCTAAAAGCTAAAAACTCCAACCTTTTAGTGTTATTCCAAATTAGTCTTAACTTTCCTAAACATTCCAAATAAGTACCGAACTTATCAGAAATGCCACATATGTTCAGCCCTAATTAAATTTCTATTAAATTCACTAGGGCTTACTTTGTCTCCAACATCAACAAAAGGTCATTGATGCATGACTTCCGTCAAGTAACAGTCACAACGCGCAACCTTCCACCCCCTTCATGCCATCACCTCCAAACCCAATGCACAACCACAAACTCCACCCTACAACTCAAGTCGCCAACATCAAGAAGAAGGTCATGGAGGTTGCTGAATTGTATAGATTGCCGCAATGTGGCCACCACCATCTTCACCGCCAACAAAGAAGAACTGGAAGCTTTACTTGCCATAAATCGGCGAATAAGGAAATCACATGAGCATAAATAAGCTTCTTGAAACTCTATCTGAATTCTTAACCATCTTCTTTGTTAGGACATTTGTCGATCTTCTTTTTTGTTTTCTACTTTATTTGTGAATTTGTTATTTATTTTTATTTTTTATCGTCATGTCTTTTTGAAGTTAAAAAAATTATTATTTTAGTGTCCAAGTAAACAAATAAGTGCGACCCGTTGTTGCCACATGTATATTTAATGACAAAATTAAGTGGGACTTAACGGATGTAACATTTTCAATATGGTGGGTACTTATTTAGAATGTTTAAAAATGTTGAAACCAATTTAGAATGATACTAAAAAGGTTAGGAGATTTTAGGTATTTAATCTTAATTTCTATAACTTTTTTCTAATAATTGATGGGTTGTTTGATATTCAATTTAGAATTAACTTATAGCTTTTAAAATAATAAAATGTTACGAAATCACTTAATAACCATTGGTTTCAAAAGAAGAGGCATTCCTCTTCACTTAAGTAAGAGGTCTTAGATTTGACTCTCGCCAAAAACGAATTTGAACCACATTATTGTTAGCCTATTGTGAGGCTAAGCAACCATCTCCCCTTTAGTGTAGATAATATCGTTTGTTTAAAAAAAAAAAATTAAATACAAGGAAACTCAACATGTTCAAATTTTCCCTCAATTTTTTTAATTAAATTTATATCTTAGGACAATTCTCACAATAACCACATTTTATTTTTATCTAGCTTTGCGTGATCCTAACTGGTGTGAGAGCTGTGCTAACTAGGCAGCCCTACGAACTACCTTTTCGTCCCTTGCTGGTAAGTAGGGGTGGAAAAAAAATACTGAAAATACTGAAACCGAACCAAACCCAATTGTAACCAAATCGACATTCCCAAAAATTTCGATACTTAATGCCGAGCCGAAACCAATAATTTATGTACGGGATTCAGTCTTCCACTAGGTTTGTTTGGTAGATCACATTATGAGCCGAAATTAATATATATAATTAAAATCTTATTGAATAGATCATTTTAATTAATGATAGGCAGTTGGATTTGGTTGAGATTTAATCTCAACTAGTTCGTTCGAAATAAGGCAAATTGATACCCAAATAAAAAGAAATGGCTTTCAAACACATCGTCTCTTCTTCTATATACTTAGATTTTATTTTGTTTCTAAATTCATTTTTAATTTTTTTAATTTAAAATTTAAGATTTAAAAATAAACTCATTGAAATTTTAGTGTTTTTTTTTATATATTTAAAAAAAAAAAGCTTGGCTGTTGAAAAATCAGCAGCAATAGCTCCTGATGCTAGCGAATCATGAATGAACACGTATTCAAATTGTGATTAAAAAATCAATTATTTGAATATGTCCATTAGCATCAAAAGATGATTTTTCAGTCAAGTTCTGTTTTTTTTTTTTTTTAATTTTATCAACAATTGAAAATTTGGTGGTGGGGACTGGAGAATGTAATGAGTGAAAAAAAGTGCATGACAGAAGGCATTGTGTGGGCCTTAGAAACAAACGGTAGCGATGGAGTACAAGTAGAAGATGTGGTTCTGTTCACGCATTCCTAAGCCGTTAGATGTTGATTGGATTGGCAGAAGCCAGAGGGCAGAAGCATAGAGGGAGGGACAGTGTACGGCCAGATCTAGTGAGTCGATTTGAGCCAGGAGGATACTATCCTGATCCTCTTTACGAGAATTTTAGAGATTTTTAAATTATGTTTGTTGATCGTATATCATATGATTATTTTTTATTAAGTATTATTCATATTTAATTTAAAATAAAAGTATTTAAAATAATTTCTGAATACATGATATACGATAAACGAACACAATTTGAAAATTTCCAGAATCTCATCCTCATTCACGATTTGAGAGGGGGAGGGATCTACAGTGTGATGTGCTCAGAGGCTCAGACGCCTTTTCGCGTTCTATTTCTGGGGACACTCTGATGGTGATGCTTGTTTTTTGGCTTCTAGATTAGACAAGATGAAATGGGGTTCCTTTGAAATGATTTTTTTCTTGCAATCTGTCAACTCGAGATGGATCAAAGGGAAGGGGGGGGGGGGGGGGATTTTTTCTTGCAATCTGTCAACTAGAGATGGATCCCGCCGGGAGGGGGGGGGGGTTGGGGTTATTATTATGTCCTCGATGCTACTAGGACAATACATTGATTTCACGAGAAATTCTCTCATTTCTTTAAAGCCATCTGAAAGTCGTGCACTATGATCCAGACTTGTCCATCTTACTGAATCGGTGAAGCAGTTTTTAGGCCCAGCCTAGGTATTAGGCGGCTGACCACTATCCCGATTAGTCTTTAAAAAAAAAAAAAGGTCGTACCCAGTGCACAAGGCTCCCGCTTTACGCAGGGTCTGGGAGAGGTGAATGTCGGCTAGCCTTACCCCCATTTATGGAGAGGCTGCTCCCAAGTCTCGAACCCGAGACCTACCGCTCATGGGCGAAGGCACTTACCGATTAGTCTTTAGACGTTCGAAAATTAAGAAATGACATCTAAACCTGCTTAGGAGCCCCTTTACCACCTAGCAGCCCGTCTTGCCCGCTCAAACTCACATAGGTCGCGATTCTTACTTTAAAAAAAAAAAAAAATAACTTTCATTTTGCATTATGCTCTAACACTTTATAATTTAAATATCATTCTATTTTGCAATTTATGTATTGCAATACAATTATTTATCTTTTAAGTATAAAAATACCCTTATTTAAATGAAATATAATAAATTTACTTAAATCCGTCTAGACGCTAAACCCCAGCCCACCGTCCATTTAGAGCCTAGCGTATTTCAAAATCTTGGCTTGAATATGAAGAAAGTGGAGAATGACAAAGAATGGTTATGAGAGAATGAAACAAAATCTTCTAAGTGTGTAAATAGTTCGGGTAGTTTTGGATTTTTGGTTTTCATTTTGTGGACTTCTCGGCTCTCGTTGTGTATGCATTACCATTTTTTAGATGAATGTATGTGCAATACTTCAACATCTCTCTTAGCATTGTTCTTCCACAAAATCCTTGTAATTCGTGAGAGACGGGTTAACTAGAACATGCGGATCTTGCTTCAGAAAATAGAGTGGTTATGACAATTGAAGCATATGATTTTGATTTTGAAGGTAATTTGATACAAATTTATCTTCTATTGCTTAAAAAACAAAAGAAATGCAAGAGTGTAATCCCCAAATTTAAGGAAGACGAATAGGAAAACAATGGACTCGAGTTGGTGGAATCTATTGGCCAAAGAAAAAAATTTGGTGAAATCTCAGCCAAACCCTCCTGCCAAAATTGGAGGATAGTACGTACGTAGCAATACTGAAGAGCCAAGGGCAATTGTACACAACTATATATAATTGAACTCGCTGAGTGCATAAGTATCAATGATCTTTTCTCATTGACGAAGAGATAACCTCGCCTAATTCTTCCTTATTTTCACTAAAAGAAAAAGCATCAATGATCTTTTGTGCAATGTTTACACCAACTGAAGTGACCTGGGAGAGAGGAATATCAAACGATAGCACAAAGAAATAGAATATAGAATGACAGTTGGATTCAAAGACGCATATGCAAGCAGCTCCTCATTGCTTTCAGATCTGGCCATGTCTTCTTCGTGAAAGTCAAGGAAGCTTCTATGCCATCGCCATCTCTCGTATCCATCAATAGAATAGTGTTCTTGAATGCGATACGAACGC